TGATGAAGAATTTCTGAGTCATGTGCAGAACTGAGTTTGGGAATTTTCAATAGAATAGAATAGAACTTGGAAAATGGTTTATACCAATTTACCCTTTCACTCTGAATCCCACTGTCAATAAAACTCTGCCAAGGGGGTCTGGGATAAACAGAGCTGCTCAATTCCTCTTGTGCATGCTTGACTATTTTTTTCCTTGAAGGGTGGCTCAGGACAGGTATCATTTGTGACCTAAGACAGGACATTGGATCTCAGCATGCACCAGGAGATAGGGAATAACTCACTTCACTCAGCCTCCATTAGTCAAGGTAGAAGAGCCATGGGTAAACATGCTTTGGACTTCAACTCCCACAATTCCTAACCACCGGTATATATATATTTTATTTACCATATTTATACCCCGCCCTTCTAACCCCTTAGGAGACTCAGAGCAGCTCACATATATAGGCAAGGATTCAATTAAATTATTTAAAAAATCACGAAAAACACATCATACATAAAAAACCACTTATTTAAAATCATGCAATCCAATATCATAGTCGAAGTCCATTCCAATTATCTTTGCACTATTCTATGCTCTCTTATTGCGCTGTCACTAAATGAAAGCTTGGTCCCACATCCACATTTTTAGCTTTCCTCTGAAGGTCAGGAAGGAGGGAGTTGATCTGATTTCACTGGGGAGGGAGTTCCACAGCCAAGGGGCCACCACAGAGAAGGCTCTGTCACCAACCACACCTGTGAATGAGGTGGGACCGAGAGCAGGGCCTCCTCAGATCTTAACCTCCTAGCTGGTTCATAGAAGGAGATACGTTCGGACAGGTAAACTGGGTTGGAGCCGTTTAGGGCAGTGGTTTTCAACCTGGGGTCCCCAGATGTTTTTGGCCTTCAACTCCCAGAAATCCTAACAGCTGATAAACTGGCTGGGATTTCTGTGAGTTGTAGGTCAAAAACATCTGTGGACCCAGGTTGAGAACTACTGGTTTAGGGCTTTCTAGGCTATAGCAAGCACTTTGAATTATGCTCGGTAGAAAACTGGCAGCCAGTGGAGCTGCCATAACAGGGAAGTTGTATGCTCCCTGTACCCTGCTTCTGATGAGAAATCTGGCTGCCGCCCATTGGACTACTTGAAGCTGTTAGGAATTGTGGGAGCTGAAGTCCAAAACACCTGGAGGGCCGAAGTTTGCCCCTTGAGGTAGAGGGTATTGTGGACAAATGGCCTGATTCCAAGTTGTTTCAGAGAATATTGGTTACGATGGGACAGAAGGAACTATTATCGATAGCCCTTTCAGTAGAAGATGAAGTTAAAGAGTTTAGACAAGAAATGGCCAGGGCAACTTCTGATAAGTGGCAAAAGTTTGTCTTTCCTCTGATATCACTGACTAATCGTATTTACAGATTACATTTATTATTGGATAGAATTAGAACCCGAGGAACAGTAATGCATCCCTACTATAAAACCTTGCAGTGGCTGTACAGGAATTTGAAAACAATTATTCTTCAAAATGTCAGTTTTTTGTAAGCTGCGTTCTCTAGAGCCCATTCAGTGCTTTCAAAAGCCAGGAACAATATAGGCCATTTTCCTACCAAATTGATCCCTCAGTGTTGGGAGAAAATAGTTGGTAAAACATTTAATAATTAATGACATTATTAATGCAGAAGGTAGGGTGGCAGGGAGGAGACCTCTGCGAACTCATAGGCCCATCTCAGAACAAGCCTTTAGGGAATAGTGCAAAAACAAGTTCAAAATAACAAGTCCAGAGAGGATTGCATACTAAAATATAATGAGCAAATGGAGACACTGAGCCTAGAAGAAGAAAAAAGATAACAGTTTGCAAGTCTTTATAGATACTTCTCTTCTTTATTTATTTATTATTCGTATTGAAGAAGCATATCATGAGCTGGCAGAGAGAGGGAGCATCATGGGCAATTTCTATGGATGCTCTGGGCAGATTGAATAACAGCAGATTTCAGGTTCAATTGCAGTGGTTCCAGTTTCATTTCTATGGGAGGCATTTTAGCCAAGTGTTTGCTCTCTATGGCTAGCAGAATGGTATGCACTTCATACCACATGCAAGTAACATGGTGCAAATAAAATCCACATGATATGTGGGGGAAGGAGACTTGGTGAATTGGCTTTCTCCAAGTGCAAGAGTGGGGTTGTAGCTTAGTGACTGAGATTTCCAATGAAAAGGCAGAAGAGCTGGAAAGGCAAGGCTGATGGGACATAGGAAAAGATCTAGAAGAATTAACTGGGAGGAGTGACATAAAGTCAAAATGGTGGGCAGGAAAATCAGGAAAGTGTTTTGATTATATTTGGGAGACATAATGTGTGGTTTAAAGTTGAACTGGATGCTCTGAATGCTGAGTTTTGTTTACCCTAAAACAATCAAGTCCTCCAGCTGTGATAAGGTCTATCACACATGGACGGGAAGGTTTTGATCTCCCACTGTGGGAGAAAAGCAGCATACAAATAGAAATACACAGTAGAGACTCGCTTATCCAACATAAACAGGCCAGCAGAATGTTGGATAAGCAAAATGTTGTTGTTAGCCATTCTGAGTCCCTCCAAGGAGGTAGAGAAGAACAGGATATAAAAGTTATAAACAAACAAACAAACAAACAAATAAAAGGTTGGATAATTAGGAGGGATTAAGGAAAAGCCTATTAAATTTCAAATTACATTATGATTTTACAAATTATGCACCAAAACATCATATCTTACAACTTATCGACAGAAAAAGCAGTTCAGTACACGGTAATGTTTTGTAGTAATTACTGTATTTATAGATTTAGCACCAAAACATTGCAATGTGTCGAAACAGCTGTGGATCCGGGCGGGAGGCACACTGCATTGGATAATACAGAACGTTGGATGAGTGAAGGTTGGATAAGCGAGACTCTACTGTATATACATATATATCATATTACAGAAACCCTGAAGCCATCTGAGAGCCTGTCAAGATTGTCCTGCTCTTATAAACATGGCATACATAGTGGTAACTATTTCTTCAACAGAAACTGCTTCATGTCTAAACCATCCATTGTATCTTCTTCTTGCCTCCCTAATTTAGGTGATGAACCAAGAGAACTATATTGAGAAAATACCAGCTGATGGGGCCTACGTGAAAGGTCTCTTTTTGGAAGGAGCTCGATGGAACAGGAGAACCAAGCAGATTGACGAGTCTTTCCCAAAAATCCTGTATGATTCCTTGCCCATCATTTGGCTGAAACCAGGAGAGAGTTCCAAGTTTTTGCATGAAAGGATTTACTTATGTCCTGTCTACAAAACCAGTGCCAGGAGGGGCACCTTGTCCACGACCGGCCACTCCACCAATTATGTCCTTTCCATTGAGCTTCCGTCTGATCTTCCACAGATACATTGGATCAATAGGGGTGTAGCTGCACTTTGCCAGCTAGATGACTAAATCGTTTGTTATTAGCATCATGCAACAGCATTTTCATATTAAAAGTTTATAGTTCTCAAACCCTCAGTGCCCCCATAGCCTTTACAAACTTGTGGTGCAAACAATTTGGTTCTTCTTGTTTCACAAACATTTCATAGTAGAGATGCAAATGCAAAGCCTTTCTTCACAGTATTCTAATTCCCAGCAGTCCATCAGGATGACTCAGGAGGTGTCCCCAAACAAAGAACGTGAAAAGTCCACTGCCAAAAAGGAAATTTGGGAAAGGTCAACCAAAAGTATTAGGAGGCTGCAGCTGCCTCCTGTGAGGAACAGTTGCCGCATAGAGGCTCCTTCTTTGGAAGCTTTTAAACAGAGGCTGGATGGCCATCCGTCAGGGGTGATTTGAATGCAATATTCCTGCTTCTTGGCAGGGGGTTGGACTGGATGGCCCATGAGGTCTCTTCCAACTCTTTGATTCTATGATTCTATGTGGTGCAATATCCCGTTGAGAGGGAAAGGCATAGGGAAACAGAATTTGTTGTTGATGTCATGTCAAGTGAGGTTCATCTAATGGCGACACCTGAATAAAGACATGTAAGAGACCCTGTTTATAAGCAGCCATCAACTTTACCAAGCCTCACCATCTTTCCAGTGAATCATGTAATCTCATGGTATGTCCAACACACACCATAGTTTCAGTTTGGTTGTTTTGACTTCCAGGAAAGGTTCTGGTTTGATCTGGAGATGTGAGGGAAGCACATAAAGCTATTCATGGCTGGAAGTTAAGAGGAAGCTGCTTTCCTTCTATGTCTCTCATAATGCAAATAACTAGTGATTATTCTCTAAATAATCTTTACTGAGTGTTGGGAAATTAGGGGAAAATTCAGGAAGTACTTCCCCATATATCACATAATGAAACTGTGGACTTTGCTGCCATCATGTGTGATGAAAGGAGGATGGAGCAGATTCATGGAAGATGAAACTATAATTGGCTATCAGCTACAATGGCGGGATGTTAGCTCCAGGATGAGAGACTGAGTGCCTGTCCATGTGCTCTGCACGGTCTGAACCTACCCCACTGCACTCAGAGCATGACCAAAGCAGTGCAGTTGCTAAGAAGCATTCAGCTTATGAGAGTCAAAAGTCTCTAGCTGGCCACTAGAGGGGCCTGTGGGCTGGCCAACTCCTCCTTCTGGCCTCTTTCATTTTTTGCCCTTTTAAAATTCATTTTGCAGAATCCTTTTGGGACTCTGTAGTATTTCCACTTTTGTGCAATTGAAAAACAGCTGTTTTAAGAGGATTGCTTCCCTCCTTTGCAAGGAAAGAATGAGACAAGAAGGCTTTGTCACTGCTGCCGCAAGTTAATTTGAATTTCATGCCTATCCTGTGTCAGGTATTTTACACAGCAAACACCCATGGCATAATGAAAAGAAGAGAAACCCTTTGAAGGTAGAAATGGCTGGATTGGAAAATAATTTGTATGCAGGAGAGGAAGAGGATGAATCAAAATGAAAAAAGATTAGATGTCTTCATGCAACCGTATCTCTAGCAATAAGCTGGGAAGCCTAGAAGTCTGTTGAGTGAAAATCTGACATAAAACCTGCTTCAATAGACATTCATTTCTAAAATGAACATGCATAATAACGAACAATGTTAGATCTTCCATAAAGCCAGCATAGTGTAGTGGTTGGTATAGGTCACTGCGTGACCAAGGTTCAAATCTCACCTGCTTATGGAAACCCACTGGGTGACTTTGGGCACGCCATACTGTTTCAGGTTCAGAAGGTGGTAAGGCCAAACTCCCCCTGAACAGGCTGTGCCCAGAAAACTATGTGTTAGATTTGTCTTAGGGTCACCACAAGTCCTTCTGGCACAATGTTATCTATTCCAAGCTTTCCCCAGATATCTTTGGAGCAAAACTCCAGCTCAAGGAACACAGCTTCTGCTGGTTAGGTGTCATAGAAGACTATCCAAAGCATTGGCAGATTGCTCTTCTGACTTAGCATGCACAGTTAGACTCCACAGGATACTTTCTCAGAGCCTGTAGTTTTTAATAAGGTGATACATGAACCATATTGGAAGCGGATAACCTACTTGATGATTACGCTTTGTATCACAATTTTTGTTCTTGGATTATACATGCCATTTCCTAATTGGTTCAATCATAAAAACATGGAAAATGTTTATTGAAATGCAAAATCTTTGTTTTTGTGGGACATCCTGCAGCACATTTTCCTATAGCTTTTCAATGAACATCTCATAGAGCCTCAGCCAATTCATCATAGGGTTGTTGTAAGTATTTTGGGCTGTATGGCCATGTTCTGGAAGCATTCTTTCCTGACGCTTCGCCTGCATCTATGGCAGGCGCCCTAAGAGGTTGTGAGGTCTGTTTGTGGCAGCCACAACAACAAAGTTTCTGGAGTATAACAGCTGCTTTCAAAGTAAGCCAGCTGTGTTTGTACTCTTCGGTCCACTCTGGCAGTGCTGTCTAATGAACTTTGGAAGGTAACCTTCAATACATTTGGAAAGCACGAGGTTGGGAAGACTGCTGTGCACCACTTCCTCTTTCTTGGTCTGTCTGTAGGTGGCTATTTTTGGTTTTACCTTCCCTCCTTCATTTAATTAATTGTAAGAAGATTACCTGCTTAGGTGGAGTCTTTTTTCAAAGGTAATATCTGAACAGCTGCAAATTCAATAGTTAATTCCATTTTCAAAGAAGAAGGCTTTCAGAAAGCCCTGACAAAATGTACGACATCAGACAAGTGAAAATATATCACTATATAATGTGGATTACACAGCATCAAACAGCAGCAAACTTACGGCTAGTTTGACCTGGATCCTGTAGAATGCAATTAATCATTCAGATGAAATTAGTCATTTGGTTTCTAAATGTTAATAGATTTATTTATGAGAGTGAGTAGCAAAGAAAAGAGTATTAAGAGTGAAATGACATTTTCCCAGGAGCTACCTGCTCTGGAGGCTCCAGAGTAATCCCTCATGACTGCCTGGAGCCATCCAGTGAGTTGCCTGCAACGCTGGGCGTTCTTCCTCAGCATGTGCTGTACCTCATTTGTAATACTAAGTCAGCAAAGGAGGCCACACAATCCCTTCATTTACTCCATCTGTAGTGCAGTATGTCCAAGCATTTTAGCTGACTAATGCAGCTCAAAGAGAAGGATTTCAGTAACTTTTGCATCCCCAACTGTGGCTATATGCATCATAAACAAAGTGTGTATCAGTGAATTTAACAACAATGAAAGAAACTGATGTGACCCATGGAAAATTAATTTTAATTTCCCTTAATTAATTTAATTTCACAAAGGCAATGCAAGAAAGAAATCTGCCTTAATAAAGAACAATTTTTCCAAAGGGACAGAGTTTGGAAAAGTTCCTTTTCTGGAGGACGGTGCCACGAATCTCTCAGAAACCACAGCCAGTAAGCATGTTGGCTCGAGGGTTCCAGGAATGGTAGATTAAAAGATAACTTTCTAAAGTTCTATATAGAAATCTTGGATAGAGCAAGCAATTACAACTTCTGCTTTCAAAATATCTGCCTATTTAATCCAAGTCTTGTTGACAGATATTATTATCATAAAGGCAGATGAGCAGAGTCCATGTGGAGATGCTATAGATTGTACCATTCTACAATCAAGTGAAGGGGCTTTGGCTACCCCGTATTAACTGCCACATGAGCGGAATGTAATGCTACCCAAACTCTTGCTTTGGAGGCAACTGTGCAGTTTCAGGTATGAATCTTGAACCTAAAGCCTGAAAAAAAATGAGGAACGGTACTTCTTTTTCAAAGGTGACAATATGTTATGCATACTTGTCTGCTTGCTTAGAACTATGTCCCATGTGGGAATTGCTTTCTGGTAAGTGAACTGCAGCTTCATGATTTCATCAGACTAGAGACAATGCAATATTCCAGATATTGGGCTGCTGTGAGTTTTTTGAGTTGAATGGCCATGTTCTAGTAGCATTCTTTTCTGACGTTTCACCTGCATCTGTGGCAAGCATCCTTAGAGGTTTGTTCAGAAGGAGCAGGCATAAGTTTGGATCATTACCATTGCATTCTATAGTGTTTGCAGGAACATGAATGGCAAATTACAGGTGATTTGTAAGGCCAGTAATTATTATTTGAAATTGAAATATACGGTTCAGGCCCAGCTTACTTGTCTGAACGCATCTGCCCGTACGTCCCACCTCACAATTTAAGATCATCTGGGGAGGCCCTGCTCTCGCTCCCATCAACAGCGCAAATGCGGCTGGCGGGGACGAGGAGCAGGGCCTTCTCGGCTGTGGCCCCCCGCCTATGGAACACACTCCCAAAGGAGGTAAGATCTGCTCCCTCGCTCCTGACCTTTAGAAAAAAATTAAAATCGTGGTTCTGGGACCAGGCCTTCGGACAATAGAGGTATGCAGCTTTTAGTAGGACAAGGACTGGAACAGCGACTCGACTGATGAGAATGTTTTATGGTTTTAATAACTGTTTTGATATTTGATGATGTACTGTTTTTAATATGATTTATGTTTAAAGTATGGTTTCAATATTGTAGTTGTAAGGCATTGAATTTTTGCCATTATCTATGTGTAAACCACTTCGAGTCCCCCTAGGGGTGAGAAAAGCGGTATATAAATGCTGTAAATAAATAAATAATAAATAAATAAATTCCAGATATTGTTGAACTGCAACTCCCATTATGACTTACCTAAGCTGGGTATGACCATTGGGAGTTGCAGTTCAATAGACTCTAGAAGTATGCATTCTGTACCCTGCAATAGACTTCTAAGATGAAACTGAAACTTTGGTAAACATTAAGGGATACTATGATACACCCATCTTCTGCATAATGCCTACCAGACAGTTTTCACAACATTGTGCGCTTGATGATCTAACTTTTTTACTTTTATTGATGAGTCAGTGGTTGACTCTTACCAAATCCAAGAGAGTTTCCTTAGGTTGTCACTTACTGCCAATTAGGGCTTGGAGGAAATGCATCACGAAGGGTTAACTGTCCAGTTCTGTTTAGAAGTGAAATCCATCTGCCAAGCAGTCCAGGGTGACGGGGGCAAAAGTCTGCCCTTGGGTTATGAGACTTCATCATAGGATTTCAAGTAGACCGGTTTGGAGAGTTTCCTCAGCTTCTCTTGATGTCGAAAGGCTCGGCCTTGTTGCTGAGCAAGGCCCATGGGAGGCAGGTGAATCTGCATGTGCCAAGAAGGAAATCAAATTAATTAAACAACACTCAATGTGGAAGCAGAAGAAATGACAGGTGAGGACACTGAGCTTTTACTTTCTGTGTCTTCTACCCCTTTTCTCATGAGGCTTCTAGAGCAGGAAAGCATTCTGAAAAGAACCATCAAAATTGTTGAGGGGCTGGAGCTGCCCCCAAAGTTTGGAGCTTTGTTGCTTATTAAAAATGGAGAGATACAATAAAGTGTGTGAAAATATGCATGGCGAAGAGAGGCTCGAATGGGAAACATTTCATTCCTTTCTAATAATACTAGAAACTGGGGCCATCTATTAACACTGAATGATGGGAAATTCAGGACAGAGAGAGCAGCTTATAGTTAGGATGACAGGGTGGATGGGAGATATACTTCAATGAACCTGGAGGATACCAAGCTGGAGAAGACCCACTACTATTTAGTAACTATATGTTGAATCGCAAGGCTATTTGTCTTTGGGTGCACCATGGGAAGTATTCTGCACGGATAAGGAAGGAGCAGGTATAAGTTTGCAATGTTATCACTGTATTGTATGCCGTTTGCAGGAATATGAATGGCGAATCACTGGTGATTTGTTAGCAACTGAAGGACAGTAATTATCATTTGAAATCTCAAAAGTTTAAGAATCAGTGCTTCAGCATAAACAAATATCGCATTACCATCTTGATTCTTTAAGCAAAGATGAAAGACATAATTTCAATGATTCTTAAAAGTGGGACTGCTTTGAAGATTACAGTCATGACTCAGCGTGACTCATGGGCTAAACTCTAATTGCACGATGACTCTAAAGAGAAACAAATGAGACTCTTCTGCTGGTTATGTCTCCCACGTATTGGATACAAATCAGAGCTGGCCTACTATTAGATAGAATGAGACAACCAATTTAGGCAACTGATAGTGGGGAGTAACAGGACCTCCTGAACTTTATACTGCTTTATAGATTTTTTTTTCTGGAGCCAGATACCAAGATTACATCACTTTATAAAAATTCTCCTTAGGATCATAACATAAATTAAATTTCAGTCTGGGTTGTTGTAGGTTTTTCGAGCTGTATGGCCATGTTCTAGAAGCATTCTCTCCTGACATTTCGCCGGCATCTATGACAGGTATACTCAGAGGTTGTGAGGACTGTTGGAAACTTGGAAAATTGGGTTTATATATCTGTGGAATGTCCAGAGTGGGAGAAAGAAGTCTTGTCTGTTGGAGTTAGGTGTGAATGTTTCAATTGGCCACCTTGATTAGCATTTGATGGCCTGACAGTTTTTAGGCGTCGCTTGTTACTGCCTGGGGGAATCCTTTCTTGAGAGGTGATTAGCTGTTCCTGATTGTTTCTTGTCTGGACTCCCCTGTGTTTGAGTTTTGTTCTTTATTTACTGTTACAATTTTAGAGTTTTTTAAATACTGGTAGCCACATTTTGTTCATTTTCATGGTTTCTTCCTTTCTGTTGAAATTGTCCACATGCTTGTGGACAATTTCAAACACAGGGGAACTCCAGAAAAGAAACAATCAGGAACAGCTAATCACCCCCAGGAAGACTAGAGGTTTTATGAAAATTGAGAACCTGCAATTGCTTTTTTGTAAGAAAAAAGTGAGAAAATATTAACTGTGGGGTTCCAGAATTAATAGTTAAAATGAGGAGTTTGAAGCAATACAAATGTAGGAGAAGCAGGATTTAGCATCATACACCATCAGTAGAAAAGTTAGAAGTCAACTTTCAATTCACTTATTTTCTATATTTTGCGTCTTTTACTGTATTTACTATATAGTTGTGTGTATTGTGCCAGTAGGACTGCTGACCGAAAGGTTGGCGGTTTGAATTTGGGAGTGGGATGAGCTTCCACCTGTCAGCTCCAGCTTCCCATGCGGGGACGTGAGAGAAGCCTCCCACAGGATGGTAAAATATCCGGGCACAGAAAAAAAGGTTAGCAGATAACTGGTTATTAATTGTTAGTGTGTGTTATGTTTTGTACGTAGTGTCCATTATCCATTTAAAGGGTTATAGTATGCAGATGTTCTCTAATTAAGTATTACTAAAAACAAGAAAACTTGAATTGGGGAAACCTCGTGAGCTGATCTGCCACTGGGATCAAAAGGTCTTGGATGGGCCCTGAAATGAATAGATCCACTCCTCTGAAATTCCAACTTACAGGCCTTGGATATGGGATGCGGTAGTGTAGCCCGATCTCTACTCTTGCCTGACACTCTTCTATACATTGTTTGATCAATTCAGGATCTGTTAGCTGAACATACAAAACAGGAGGAGAAAAGTTAAACAGACAAGTGCAGCAAATAGCCCAGTGAACCAAAATTACTCTGTTTGCTGAGTTACTTTGTAGACAATTTACTCACTGAGGTATTTCTTCTTTCTCAATTTTTTTTCCTATTGAAAGTAGTGAACAAGAAGAGGTTCACAACAAGTAATTACACTGTTCTACAAATTTTCAGTTTTTCTCAGTTATGGAAACGAAATGTGCCGTTTCTTAATAAATTTAACATGCTGAATTCAAATATAATAATGAAATGTGTTAATTGGCTCTGGTTTTTATGCAACAGCTATTTCAATTTTCTCCACAATAGGTAATTCGTTAATATTAGGATAATGCGCCTAACCTTACTGCATGTATATAAACCGTGAATATTTACAAAATTTTAGTCAAATTATATTGCCAATAGTTTATACATGAGAAATATTTATTTAATTAGTCTATTGTTTATGTTTGTGCAGCAAGAAACTATATTAGTAGGCCTAATGCAGTTGAAAAGTCTGAAAGTTTAAATGTCGCTTTAATCGTGACTTGAGTTTATATCCTGTTTGCTTCTCTTGACTTTTCTTTTGTATTCAAGGAAAGGATTGTCTCTTACAATGCTCCAGCAGTAGTCTGACAGCATTGACGGAGTCCATTTACTTTGATATCTTTTTTCCATAGTGCTTTATTTACACACGTGCGAGGCATAACTACAGTAAAAAGAACAATGTAAAATGATGTTTAACGATACTGTCTCAGTCTTCAACTGACTGACCCTCAGTCAGTTGACCCTGGCCTTATATCTGGCTTTCTGGCTTTTGCACATGGCACTAATCCTGCGTCATCAAACTTTCTAGAATATTCTAGAATCTTCCATAGTGTAAGTCGCAACATGCATTTTTTCAACCATACGTGATCACGTGATTGCTTATATCATAAAAACTAGAGCCAATATACATTTTTAAATGTCATTTTTGTTTTCAGCACGCCAAAATCATAAAAGAACAGCTATTTTCAGACCTGCAGGTTGTATAAAGGCTCATGTGTCCATCATCTGTGAGAAAACCATTCTCTTGAACACAGAACCAAAATTTGAATGCAAAGCTGCAATTATTCAACACACAAAGCCTAGCATACACTCACATTTTTATTCTTTTGGAATAATGTTTTGGCTTCATTTATAATATACTGTTTTTCTTTTATGGTCTCTTCCATCTGCCCAGATGCCGACTGCCATTTTTTGGCGATGCGGAATATCTTACGGTAAAGGCCAAGAACTTCTTGACGGGAGACTGGCGTCATCTAGAGAAATGGGAACATAACCCATAAACATTTGAGTCCAGAGAAAAACAGACCCTCCAAACAGATGGGACATTTTCACACACGCCTTAATTAGTTTTCAAACATTTTATTGGCTCTCTGGCTGAACACAAGAAGAACCAGAAGAGGCAGCAAAGCACTATTATCTGCCAACTTCTATAATCTCCAGTTATGATTTACCATGCACCAATAGAAGGATGGGGGTGTGGTGCATGGTAAATATTCAAACATGCACAAATCTTTGGTTTGAAACTCGGACTCAGTCAATTCCAAGGACCAACTTTCCCACCCAAATAGCCAGCAGGGCAAGGAAATGTGAACAAAAAGTGTACATAGCAAATAAGTAGGTCACAGAGAAGGCAATTTCCAGGTGAAAAGACAAATTATCTGCTAGGGGATATTAAAAAATGGATTGAAAGTAAAATCTTAACTCAGCTGGTTGAAGGGTAATGGAACAGAAAGAATACATGGACAATTCCTGCAATCAGGGTGGCACATGTAAACAGAGGAATTCTCTGAAGATCTAGATTAAGTCCAGTGATTTTTTGTTGGAGTGTTGTGTGGTTTCCGGGCAGTACGGTTGTGTTCTAGCAGCATTTTTCCCCTGATGTTTTGGCTGCATCTGTGGATGGCATCTTTAGAGGATCCTGAAACCACACAACACGTTATTGATTCCAGCTGTGAAAGTCTTCGACAATACATTTTTGCTGTTGTCCATGAACTGGAGTTAGAGGTGAGATATGGCACGGCCAGGTTTGCAAATGAATGCAGGGCTTAATTCTGTATACCCATGTCTTGGACTGCTTTTTACAAATCTTTAGTTCTGAAACCAAATGGTGGGAAAGAAAAAAATGGCCAAAAATTGGAGAGAGCCTAGCCCACACTAAATGGGAGCAGATGTGCTTTCCACTTGTGCAGAGGATGCACTGGATCCAGGCCAACAGTCCAATGGCCGGGGGAGGAAGCCTGCCCACACACAAAACAGTCACTCACAACCATCCTACAACCCAGAACAGACCCTCTCCTGTTGTCTGGAGCTGCTGATCTTTCCATGTCAATGTTTTCTGTGAGCAAAGGGCTGTTTTTGTAGCCTGTCAATTCAGCGGCTGCCTCCTAAGTGGACATAATGCTCTCTTTCTGACTCTTCTGAGCAGAAGACCACCAATTGTTGTTTAAGGGGAACAGATGGCAAATGTTTAAATAGATGTTGATGACTTTGGGAGGCTGGAGGGGGAGGTTGGTGTTATTTTTATGCCGATTTGTCAGTGTAGTGCCTGAGCCAGCCATTCTGATGTCATGTCATCTCAAGAACACATTTTTAGCTTTCAAGCTCAGTTGGTTATTGGGCTACCTGCAAAAGCTCTACTTTTTCCTGGTCAAGGGCCACATTCTGGTAAAGGAAACCACAGAGGCTTTGCAAGGCCATGGTGGGTAGAAATGAACTCTGTAACAGGTTTCTCCAGCTTCTTTTTGCCTTTGTATCCATCTTCCTCCTTGCCTAGTGAATTGCCAGCAAAGGGACAGATTTTAGCAGGAATAGGCAATCTGATAGCTTCCTGATGGTTTCTATTGCTCTTCTGCAAGCTTCAACTTTCAATTTCCAGGAACAGGGGGGCATTGGAGTGGCCTTTCCCCCTCATAATTCGTAAGTGAAGGAAAGACTTTAGTAGGCTTGACATAGTATGTAGGTATTAATGTTACAATATTATGGTATTTTGATACACTTGATTTCTATGGCTCTGTTCATAAAATACATGTTTTCTATGCAGAATAGTCTCCAACATATCTGGACATTTGAATACAGGGGAGATGTTTACTGCTGCACTTCAGAGTGGTGTTCTAAAAATGCTAAGTCTCTCTTCAAACTAAAAGTTCCAGTATTCTACAAGGCAGAGCCATGACTGTTAAAGTTTTTTTGTTATTTATTCATTCAGTTGCTTCTGACTGAACTTCTTCCATGCCTTGGACAACAATCAAAGAAGAAAGGATATAATTCAGTTCAGAGGAATCAGGAGTCATGTTCCACTTTTAATGTTTATATGGTTTGTTGTGGTTGTTTACTTGTTCAGTCATTTCTGACTCTTCGTGACCTTATGGACCAGCCCACGCTGGAGCTCCTTGTTGGCTGTTGCCACCCCCAGCTCCTTCAAGGTCAAGCCAGTCACTTCAAGGATAACATCCATCCATCTTGCCCTTGGTCGCCCCCTCTTCCGTTTTCCTTCCATTTCCCCCAGCATCATTATCTTCTCCAAGCTTAAAGTGTTAGGAATTGCTATAATTGTGCAGTGTGGATATGTCCAATATTTATTGATTTGCAGCACTGATAATCCCAATTTTCTTCTGAGGAACTCAGGCTGGCATAGATGGTCTTCCTTCTTGTTGTCTTCACACCAAACCTCCAAAGTAGGTCAGGCTAAGACAGGCTGATTGATCCACGATCACTGAAGTTGATTTCAATTTGGATCTCAATTCCAAGGTATCTATCCACTCTGGAGTGTATTATACTAACCTTCAAACTCAGTGTCTATTTTTATTATCCTTGAGCTCCTGTTCCAAATGCACACACTGCAGCATTCTTATTTTGCTGTCTTCAGCACTAAATTATAGCATTTAGCTGAAGTGATAACCCCCAATTGTTCTGCAGCTGGGAAAAGGTGGCAAAGGTTTATGCCACAAGGTCTCCAGCTGCAATAACTACAAGTCACTGGGTCAAATTCATCTCTGAAGTGACATCAGCAAAGACAGCTAGTAGACTGACATCTGAGGCAGATGTATAGTATTCCTAAAAGGAAAACCAAACACTGTTGTGTGCTCAGGTTCTGTGACACTGAGGCAGGATTTGCTACCTCTTTGAAAAGATCTCTTCAGCCCATTGCAGGCTTCTACTCCCCAAATTTATTTCCCGTCTTGGGCAACAGTCAATATGGTTTAACAGCACAGGGATTGGGAGGGCATTACAAGCTTATCTCCTATGTGTGCATGTGTTCTTTGCCTGAATTTGGACATAAAGAGGAGCAAGAGTCTGACTTCAATGGCTGAAATGGATACTATAATGAAAATAATATTTGTTCCCAGGCTGAAAGACAGTTTAATTTAAGGGAGAAGCCTACTCAATTTCCTCCCAAGTATTTTAAAATGTGTTGTGATATAATTATTCTGGATATGAACATATTTCTTTTAACCAAACACCTATTCTCTGCACAGAAGACACATTTCCTGTTCATAAAATACATGTTTTCTATGCAGAATAGTCTCCAACATATCTGGACATTTGAATACAGGGAAAATACTGTAAGGCAATATCCATGTTTCCGCGCAGCAGGGAGAAATTACAGTAATGCTTCATTTTCTCATGTGCAACGATGAAATAGCCAAGGATTCATGCGCCTAGTATAAAGCCAAATGAGAATACAATAGGTTTCAAAGGATCCAGTGTATTTGGCAAGCTTGTGTCAGTTGCACGTTACACAGGCGTGCTAAAAGGTAAACATCAAAAAGCCCTGGGCTTGTTGTAGAATTTCTGCAGCTATGGATTTCAAAGCCTGTCTTTCTCAATCCAGTGCCCTCAAAGCCTTAAATCTTGGGCAGATGCATATCTTAGGATTCTATATCCATAAGGGATATGCCCCTGGAGCCCATGTTCATATGTAAAACTGTGGACAATAGAGAATGCTATTGAAGTGAAGGGCTCCCAGCCCAGGAGTACCAGAGTCCTACTGGACTCAGAAAATGCCTATAGAGGATGTATTTTGCTATATGTGCATAAATGGAACTGTGGACACCAGTCAGGTGGATAGAGGAATTGTACTGTATCTTTATGGAGAGGTACTGCTTTTGGTACCCAAGTCTTTAAACACTGAGTGAATTCACCGTGACCACTTGCCTGACATTTATATTCAAAATGCTTGACAAGAAAGCTACACAAACCACAGCAACCAAGACCCCATCAATATTGGTTGGATCAGTAATTCCCAAACTCTAGTTCTCCAGGTATTTTGGACTCCAGCCCCCAGAACCCTGAGCTACCTTGACTAATAATCAAGTGTCTGGGAGCTGAAGACCAAAATACCTGGAAGACCAGATCTTGATTTTGCCCACATTGAAATGGAGGGGCCCCCTGCCATACCAAAGAAATGCAGCCAGACCCCACTGCTCAGTTTCAAGCCCCAGGACAACAACATGTGTCCGTCTTCTCCAGAGAACAATTCCGGAGTGGGAAACAGGGGCCTCCACGTATTATAAATTCCAAAAAGCAGGAAATTGTGGGACACATAGTCTGGATAGGGTTGCCAGGTGAAATAATGGCTGTGTAGAAGAGGGCATTTCAGTAGGTGCTGCTTGTGGCACCTGTTGACATTTTTATTGTCTACATAATCATTAAAAGCATAGGAGCCACCTTTGCAGTGAGGACATACATTTCCAGGTGGAAGGGTTTGCTTGATGTGCCTTCTTCCTCTTGGGATGTTTCTTCCCTTTGCCTTTCATTCGAGCCTTTTCAAATTCCACAAAATTGTTGGTAACAGCTGACCTCCAGCTTAAGGGCCAGGGCTTCCCAGTTCTCTCTCAGTGTCTATTCCACATTTTTTAAGCTTAGCTTTAAGCCTATCATTGAATCTCTTTTGCTGTCCACCAACATTTCATTTTTTGTTCTTGAGCAGAGTACAGTAAGAGTTTTGGGAGATAGTGATGGGGCCGTAGGACAATGTAGCATTTGATCCAGCAAAGGAAATAGTGGAGGATCATGGCTTCCATGATGGTGGGCTTTGCTACTTCCAGAAGGCTGATGTTTGTCTGCCTGTCATCTTCTCATGAGATTTGTAGGATTTTTCAGTGGCAACACTGATGGAATCTTTCCAGAAGTCGAGAGTGATGTTCATAGGTGGTCCATGTTTTGCAGGCGAACAACAGAGTTGGAAGGACAATAGCTTTATAAACAAGACTGAGAACCCGAAGTTCCAAAGACAAGGAACTTCTTCCATGCCTTGGACAACAATCAAAGAAGGAAGGCTATAATTCAGTTCACAGGAATCAGGAGTCAGGTTCCACTTTTAATGTTTGTATGGTTTGTTGTGGTTGTTTATTCATTCAGCCGTTTCTGACTCTTTGTGAGCTGATGAACCAGCCCATGCCAGAGCTCCCTGTCAGCTGTAACCATCCCAGTTCCTTCAAGATCAAGCCAGTCACTTCAAGGATAACATCCATTTATCTTGCCCTTGGTCAGCCCCACTTCCTTTTTCCTTCCATTTTCCCCAGCATCACTATCTTCTCCAAGCTTTCCTGTCTTCTCATTATGTGGCCAAAGTACTTCATCTTTGCCTCTAATATCCTTCCCTCGACTGAGCAGTTGGGCATTATTTCCTGGAGTATGGACTGGCTCTCACATCCATAGGTTGCTACGGGGAATACCATTGCTTTAACTATGTGGATCTTCGTTGCCAGTGTGATGTCTCTACTCTTCACTATTTTGTTGAGATTGGTAATTGCTCTCCTCTCAAGAAGTAAACGTCTTCTGCTTTCCAGGCTGCAGTCTGCAGTAATTTTTGTGCCTCCATGTTTTCTCCCTCTATTTGCCAGTTATCAATCAGTCTGGATGCCATAATCTTGGTTTTTTTATGCTTAACTGCAACTCAGCTTTTGCACTTCCTTCTTTCACCTTGATTAGAAGGCTCCTCAGCTCCTCCTCGCTTTCGGCCATCAAAGTGGTGTCATCTGTATACCTAAGGTTGTTGAAGTTTCTTCCAGCCAGTTTAACACCAGCCTAGGATTCGTCAAACTCCGTACGTCGCATGATGTGTTCTGCATACAAGTTGAATAGGTCAGGTGAGAGGATACAGCCCTGCCGTACTCCTTTCCCAATCTTGAACCAGTCTGTTGTTCCGTGGACAGTTCTTACTGTTGCTACTTGGTCCTTATACAGATTCCTCAGGAGACAGACAAGGTCACTTGGTGTCCCCATACCACCAAGAACTTGTCACAATTTATTATGATCCACAGTCAAAGGCTTTAGAATAGTCAATAAAACAGAATAGATGTTTTTCTGAAACTCCCTGCCCTTCTCCATTATCCAGTGGATATTGGCAATTTGATCTCTCGTTCCTCTGCCTTTTCTAAACCCAGCTTGCACATCTGGCAACTCTCTCTCCATGTATTGCTGGAGTCTTCCTTGCAGGATCTTGAGCATTACCTTACTGGCATGAGAAATAAGAGCCACTGTACGAAAGTCTGAGCAGTCTTTAGCATTTCCCTTTTTTTGGTATGGAGATATAAGTTGATTTTTCCGTCTGATGGCCATTCTTGTGTTTTCCATATTTACTGGCATACGGCATGCATCACTTTGACAGCATCATCTTTCAAGATTTTAAACAGTTCAACTGGGATCCCGTCATCTCCTGCTGCCTTGTTGTTAGCAATGCTTCTTAAGGCCCATTCAACCTCACTCCTCAGGATGTCTGGTTCTAATTCACTCACCACACCATCAAAACTATCCTCGATATCATTATCCTTCCTATACAGATCTTCTGTATAGTCTTGCCATCTTCTCTTGATTGCTTCAGCTTCTGTCAGGTCCCTGCCATGTTTGTTTCTTATCATGCCAATTTTTGCCTGAAATTTACCTCCAATGTTTCTAATTTTCTGGAAGAGGTCTCTTGTCCTTCCTATTCTGTTGTCTTCTTCCACTTTCATGCATTGCTTATTTAAAAATAGTTCCTTATCTCTTCTGGCTAACCTCTGGAATTGTGCATTTAACTGGGGCATATCTCCCCCTATCACTGTTTCCTTTTGCTTCCCTCCTTTCTTGGGCTACTTCCAGTGTCTCAGCAGACCACCATTTTGCCTTCTTGGTTTTCTTTTTCTTTGGGACGTACTTTGTTGCCACCTCCTGAACAATGTCATGGACTTCTGTCCATAGTTCTTCTGGGACTCTGTTTACTAAATCTAGTCCTTCAAATCGGTTCTTCACTTCCACTGCATATTTGCTAGGAATGTTAGTGAGATCATATCTAACTGTTCTGTGTGTTTTTCCTGATCTCTTTAGTTTTATTCTAAATTGTGCAATAAGAAGTTTGTGATCCGTACTACAGTCAGCCCCAGGTCTTGTTATCACCGACTGGATGGATTGCCACCTTTGGCTGCAAAGGATGTAGTCAATCTGATTCCAACGATGATCATCTGGTGAAGTCCATGTAGTCTTTAGCATTTCCATTTCTTTTTTTTGCTATGGGGATATAAGTTGATTTTTTTCCAGTCTGATGGCCATTCTTGTGTTTTCCATATTTGCTGGCATATCATCCCCATACCACCACAATCTATGATCATCCACACAGAACTTACCACAATTTATGACAATCCAAAAGTTTGTGTGGAAGAGGGCACAAAAAGAAGTGTTGCTTGTCACGTATTTATTTATTAATTGTTTACAGTATTTATATTCCACCGTTCTCACCCCGCAGGGGACTCAGGGCGGATTACAATGTACACATATATGGCAAACATTCAATGCCAAAGACATGCAACAAAAATAGACAAACAGTCAGAGGCTATTTAACTTTTTCAGGCTGCCAGGGGAGCTGTCGCTTTCATCATCCATCTGCGACGCTGATGAAGTACTTCCGCATTCCCCGCATGCTTTTGCTGAAGTCTTTTTTATGGCCTCGTAAATTTTGTTAAATTAGCCTCCCCACACATAGGTGGTACCTAATTTTCCTACTTGACAGATGCAACTGTCTTTTGGGTTGCAAAGGTCAACAACAGGGGTCCTCAAACTTTATAAACAGAGGGCCAGGTCACAGTCCCTTAAACTGTTGGAGGGCCGGATTATAATTTGAAAAAAATGAATGAATTCCTATGCACACTGCACATTTCTTATTTGTAGTGAAATAAACACTTAAAAATACAATAGTTAAAATGAAGAACAATTTTAACAAATATAAACTGATTAGTATTTGAGTGGGAAGTGTGGGCTTGCGTTTGGCTGATAAGATAGGATTGTTGTTGTTGTTGTGTGCTTTGAAACTTAGGTTGACCCTGAGCTAGGGCCGGGTAAATGACCTTGGAGGGCCGTAACCGGCCCCCGGGTCTTAGTTTGGGGACCCCTGGTCAACAACAAGCTACACAATTGGTCGGAAGCTCACTCCGACCCGGGCTGGCTTCGAACTCATGACCTTGTGGTCAGAAGTGATCTTAATGCAGCTGACACTCAGCCAGTCCTGGTGTTATTCAGGTTTTTTGTCGTGTCAGAGCAACCAGTCCATTATATTACATTTCTAACAGAACAAAGCAAACAAACAGAAAAA